AGGGTGTCAACTAACAACGTCGGAGGGGCAGTACGATATAGTACAATACAGCTTGTTTGTATTGATGTATAAAATGGAGCCTCAAATGGAGTGTCTCTGTCTAGCCTAGTGAGGAACGGAAAGTCCCGCCATTCACTGAGATGGTCCATATCTTAGTGATCCGGTAGAGTCTGTGGGATATGAATATCGTGCTTGATCAACAATAAACCTGGCTGGGTGCTTTCATACCTTAACGGATCTTGTGGTCAGTGGGTGGTTCGCTTGAGGTATACTGTGCCAACTGTCTGCGCAAAGCTGGGACAGCACACAGGGAGAACACACACGCGCAGCCAAACATCTCACCACAATTATCTATACATCAACGTATGTGTAGCTAGCACCTTTGGCATGCCATGCATCACTAACTGAAACCTTGACAATCTTTTGTTGTGATCCTTGCACCTCCCTTCACCTTCCTCATTCCTGTTGCCTTCACTGACGTCATTGAGTCAATAAATAGGTGCTTATTCTTCACGCAAAGAACTATGTCCTCTATTTGCAAAATGTTATACACGCACGGCACTAAACAGATTAATAAAACTATCTATACATGTAACCCACAGATCTTCTGGGTGTGGTGCTCTTTCCCCTCTAGTGGCACCGAGACCACTTAGAAATTAATGAGTCTGCTACAGCCTTCGCTAAGAGCCATGTGGCTTTTAGCTCATGCAGTAGAGGCTCATGCATTTAGCTCCAGAGGTCCCAGGTTTGATCCCGTCAATGATAGATACAGATAGTGGTACAGTGTAATGCATACACAGACATTCTATGTTCACATACAATGTAAACAGCCATGCCAGCCATTGATACATACATACTGAGATACTATATGCCGGTGGTGGGCACCCTGCGGCCCATCAGGATAATCTGCTGGCGGGCCACCAGACAGTTTGTTTACATTTGCATGGCCGGCCGCAGCTCCCAGTAGCCACGGTTCGCCGTTCCTGGCCAATGGTGCTGGCCGCTGCTTCCTGCAGCTCCCTTTGGCCGGGAACGGAGAACCGCGGCCACTGGGAGCTTCGGGCAGCCGTGCAAATGTAAACAAACTGTCTGGCAGCCCGCCAGCAGATTACCCTGATGGGCCGCAAGTTGCCCACCACTGCTTTACGCATATATACTGAATACCCAGACTGGGTACCTCTGAAATGTACGTATGTGCAAAATGAATATACATTTAGCTCAGAGACATGGGAGCAGGAGAAAGTGATGGCAGTAGTAGGGACTGGAGGAGTATTTGAAAGGCAGGATTATTTACTATGCTAACTGTCTGGGTGTGTAATAATGCCAGGATTCGGTCTGTACATTGTGCTATTTTTTGTAAACATTTGGCAGGAATACACCCACAGATAAGGGGCTGGGCTTTTTTCTTCAGAGCTGAGCTGGAGCAAAACTGAGGAGGAGGAGGAGGACTTGAAAGGAGTGAATGAGAGAGAGAAAAAATGAGCGAACACTGAAATAGGAAGAGAGGAAAGGAAAGGGGGGATGCTGAGAAGCAGAATGAAAGTAAGTCTACAAAATGGAGAGGGACGGGGAAAGAAGGAGGGAGTAAAAGAGAAATGTATAGAAAGAAGGGGATTGAGAAAGAATTAAGGTGGGAAGGAGGGAAGTCACAAAAGTCACACATATTTGTCACAAAAGACACAGAACCAAAGAAAAACAGAGCTCCCTAGAAGCTGACCTATCTGCACAGTGGGCTCAGAATGTACCTGTGCATTCTTACCATACAGGAAAAAGCAAGAGGAAATTCCAGAAGAGGTGGTGGAATCTGCAATCAGACTTATGTGCCAGAGGGTACAATGTACAGCCCGAGCACCAGCAACTTCTCAGATCTCCATTTGTTAAGAGAATTGGACACCATTGTGCTCACTTGCCTCTACTGGCTTTGTGTATCAGGAGGGAGGGGGAAAGCAGACACTGGGTATAGTCTGGATAGGCAATCAGGCACTGGGCACGCTCTGAAGGACAGGTAGCTAGAAAGTCTGCAGGAACAGTGGCATCATTTTCAAAACCATTGGAGATCCTTTAGGTTGAAGGCTCCTCGTTTAGGGCAAAGAGGTGGTTAAAAAGCTACACTGAAAGGCCAGGACTGCATCCATAGCACCAGCATCTTCATCCATCTGTAGAGGCACCTCACCCTGACTAATCCCATTGTCTGGAGTGGGCATGTGCTTGTCTCCTGCCTAACTGCTCTCCTCACATTCTAGGACCCTGTTAGTTCTGTCTCTCTCACACTCTTCCTTGAAAAAGATGAGGTGGCTGGGTGACGGATTAAAACAATTGCCCTCTATGTCACCGGATCAAGACCAGCCTCAGAGAATTGTGCCCAGAAATCATTACTCCCTGGAGGGTCTCAGCCCATTTTTTCTGTCTGAAGACACCACAACGGAGCGGACAGCTGGCAGACCTTGGGAGGCCAAGGATCTAACTGGCCATGAGATTCACTGCTCATTCACCCCTAGGGGTGGTTCCTCCCAGCCAGGTGTACAGAGGCAGTGTGGGGGAAGCTCGCACTGCTGCTGCTGCTCAGACTGTGACTGCTCTGTGGGTAACAGATTTCAGTGGGTAGGCTTGTCAATCCAATGCTTAACAACACTATTCCTTTTAACAGGTCCACGCCTCAGAGCCCAGCACCTCAGGGTGCCCAGGTCCGGAACCCCATATCCCCACCTCTGCCAAACCCCCAGCTTCAGAGTCCATCAGGCCTGGCTGGTGGTTGCATTGGTTTCACTCTCTCCTCTTTCCTCCATGCACCATCTCACTCTAGAAACCTGGCTACAAGATAATCCCAGTCCAGAAAGTTTGTATATTCCATTCTTGACCTCACGTCCTACCAATGCAGTACCCAAGCCCCGAGGAGCCTTCTCTTTCCTCTACCAGCCATGAGATGGTGTATATAGTAGAGCCCTGCAGTGGGTCTGAGATCCTGCAGAACCTGTTGCCATAATAGCGGGAGCCGGTAAAATGTACTTTTCTGCAGGTGGGATTGGGTAGGCAAAAAACGGACTGTGGTAATTTGCCAGAAAACACTAACTCTCTCATCAGTTTGCCACATAAAAATTGTGTCTAATTCTGTTTATGTATATAATATATTGACCAACCAATTTTGTTTTGTTTTTTTAGTAGCATGGGAGAATCGGTCTCTCTTGCGAGATCTAAGGTTTTTGCAGATAGGATCAGGATAAAAACAAACAAGAAACAATGCAGGAGTGGGAATTGCATGGTGGGACAGGAGTGAGATGTAAAAAATAGTCCCACTCAGGGATCTAGTATATAGGGCTGCATAATAGTTAATTCCCAGGAACTCTACGTATTTTATGTGGATTCCATCAAGCATAAGTCTCCCAGAACGTCCTGTAGCACCTGTATTATTCCAGATCAACCAGAAGCACTATAGTGGATATGCCTCAGCCTTCGAGGGTTAATCATCTTTGCAATACAGTGCTTACAATAGGTAGGAAACACTGAGCCCTTACTACTCAGTGCTGTGTTTTGCTCTCTCCCCAGTCTCTTTGCTTGGGCACCTGCACAGATGATGTGCCCCCACCACTTAATCAATACACCTTTCCAAGCATCTCCATTGGGGCTGCAGCAGTCAGCATCCTCCTTTTGAAGCAACAAGCTAAGCGGCTGCTCCCAGAGAGCAGTCGAAGGAGCTGTCATTTAAGCACACTGACTTTTCATGCAGCTCCCTCAATAGCCCTTTCTTTTAAAAAAAGGGGGGGGAGAAACTCCTTCGCCAGAGAATCCCTCCAGAGCAAGCAGGTTGGAACCAAAACTAAACTGCAGCCCTTGCTCATGTTGAGCAGACTCCAGCTTGCTTCAATACCGCCAGCATGATATAACCAGCTCTTTAATACTGCAGACCTGATGCAAGTACCATCAATGCAGGGGAAGTCACTGGAGAAGGCGGTGTAGAAAGGGTCCGTTCTAGTCCACAGCTAATTCTCCTCTCAACCTACACCCCTCTTTGCTGATCTCCAGCCCAAGCTGACCCCATTAGCCTATCATCTGTCATTCCCCTCTCCCTCCCTCTATAACTGAGCACATACCCACAGTGCTCCTCAGAATTTCAGATAAATGCCACAAAAGGATGAGGGTCTATCAAACAGCTCTTTAGCCTCGCAGGTGTTTGTGCCCAGCCACCCATCCAACGAACAAACCATCTTTACCCTGATCAGCAGCGATCAGCGTATTGAAGAAAAGAATAAAACATCTGTTTGTTTACCCTCTTCTATTGTTGTCCACAGAACAAGCAGCAGCTTGGATTAAAAAAAAACCCCTCTAAGCAACAAGGAACAAATGAGGTTTGCACAGGTCAAGAGAAAGGGCTGACCTTTGTACTTTCCATCAGAAATACCCCCTAGATTCTCAATGTATCTTTCCATTCTACTCTCATCACCCATCCACAGACATACTCATTTGTGTCCCTGGACAAAATTGTTATTTACAACTTTGTTGTACACACCCTGCTTCCAAGCAGCAGTAGCAAGGGGAAATGCAGTAAAAGAGTCTATGTTTCTTTCGATTTCCCTTCTGATCTGGGCAGTGGAAGAGAAAGGGTTAAACAAACACTAGCCATTAGTCATTTCCTTTCAGTCCCCCTCAGGCGTGTTGATGGCTATGGAGAGCAAGAGAGATGTATGTGCGTGCTCTGATAGAGAGATAGTCATTGTCAACAGAGAGGTCGACCTGCCTCCAAGTTAATAAAAAGGAGAATGGTTATAACTAATGAATAGCAATTAATAATAATTGTTCCCATCTCCAGCAATCAACATTTAATCCATATTTAAAAAAAAAAAAAAGAAAAAGAAAAAAGCCAGAGACACACAGAGCTTGCCATTGCGCCTGCAGATCGTAAAGAGGGGAAAAAATAACCCCAAATCCATCGAATTAGAACCCCCTGCTACAAATAAATTCACTGGGACAAAGAAAAAAAATAGAGAAGCATTTGTATTCCTTACCACGCCACTCGATCCCTTCCCCAGAGCTGCCGGGAGAAGAAAAATGAATGAGCTGGAGCGAGTTATGGGATTGTTGACGTTGGGTTTCCTGCTTTCTTTCTTTCCTTCTGTCTTTTGCTCTCCCTTTTCTGTAGGCTTGGGTTTTCAGTTCGCGGCTGTCTGAGCTTGAATGCTCTGCTGTTCCAGCAGTATCTGAATACAGTGGTTGAGCTGAAAGCATTTAAACCTCTGTTGCTTCAATTGAGGCTAAAGTATGGTATTCTTGTATCTGTTACGGGGGAAGGAAGCCCAGAGAGACAGCAGACAGGGGTATTATTGTAGGGACGGCTGCCTGAGATTCTTCTTTAGCCGTTCTGAGATTGGAGATGAAAGGAAAAAGTCTCCTCCCCACCTGCCTCATTCCCTCCCCTCCCCAGTCTCTGGAGGAGGGTTTAACAGCCCTGTCCGTGCAGATCCCTTCTTCCCGGAGAGCAATGAAACAGAAAATACACAGCAAAGGCACATCAGTCGCACACAGGAAAGAGCACAGCGTGGAAGGGACACCCACTCTCTCCCCTGCCTCGAAACCCTCCAGGTGGAAAAGCCAGTGTCACAAGGCATGGCCCAGTGCCCTCTAAGCGTGGGGCACTGGCCTGGCCTGCAGGTGGGCAGAAGGGCCTGCCTGAGCAGAGTCCTTCTCAGGAGGGAAGGGAAGCAGCAGAGGGGGATGGCCAAGGACTTGGTGCTGATACTTCCTGGTCAAAACAGCTACCTGTTGAGCTGGTAACTCCCAAACACTATAACCAACCTGTAACAGATGGTGCTAAACCAGGCACTCACTTGCACCCAGGACAAAGCTCCCCACCCCATCCCATCTTTTAAGCACGTTCACTGGGCAGGGGTGCTTTCACTATGCTGAATCCACTCAGGCACCATGGGTGTGAAGTTTTTGCCTTGAACTTGAAAGCTGCTTGGGTTCCTATTCCTGTCAGAGATTGGAAAGAAAAGAATCCAGGCAGAAAACAAATGCAGAGAGAAAATCAGGGTTAAAAATGGAGCAGGGAGTGGGCAGAGTGAAAACAAATACAGAGACACAAGCCGGCGTGAAGAGACGTTGGATAAACCAAATACGATCTTGCACTGGCTGAACTCTGGGGGATGGTTCTGTCCTTAATTCATAGTACAAGCTCTTAGCTAACTAGAAAGAGGAAGGTTACTTATCGGTAACTGGAATCCAAGTATATTGCCTCTGAAGATATACACTCTTGAGACACATGCACCTCCTCACAAGCAGCAGCAGGGACTTCAAGTTGCACACACACACACACAAACTCACTGAGCATTTGGTATGAGATTATAAACCCAACCACCTCTGTAGATTCCCCATTCCTAGGAGAGCGACTAGGAGTAAAAGCCCCTGTATGATGGCTGGAAAGCTCCTAATTGGAGAAAGAGGGCTGCCTTTGCATAAAAATCTTTAGACTTAACACTGATGGTCAAGAAGCTAATGGGGAATGGAGAGCTACATTGCAGTTTTCAGAGACAAAGACAATTCTCAATCATTCCACAGAAACTGCCTTAGCATCTAGTAAAATGTTCCTCCTTGGGATCTGTCACTGACACGCCCACTTGCTCGTAAACAGTATTGAGTAGAGAGTCTATTCCACCTAGACAATCTCTTGGAGGTTGACTGTTCACTTGAATATCTCCCTAAACACCACCCCGCAAAAAATCTGAAGACCAGAGAAAGGTTTTGTCCTATCCAACTAATGGACCTGTGCTCTTTTGACATCTGATTTATGTGCTCTGATCTTCTCCTGGTTAGACACATGCTTCTGGAAAAGAGACCAGTGGACTATTTGAGATGTCATCCAGAGAGGACTTCAGGGAGAAATTTAGGGTGCAGATTCAGCATCACCCCATCCTTACAGAACATTGTGAAAAGGATTGGCTACAGGCACTTGTATCTCACTCACCTCCAGGCTGATATAATAGTTGCTAGGAATGCAGCCTGGGGAACAGGTCACAATGGAACCACTGGCCCATGAGCTCCAAGAGAGGTGCTTGAATCTTACCAGTACTGAATTCAAGGTTCAAGGTAGCACAGGGCTCCTAGATATGAACCAGACCCTTGAGGAATCTTGTCATGGTCAGTTGAAAACAATGAATGATCTCTGGAGTGGAGGGTAATAAGCTGCTAAACTTGCCATATAGAACTTGAGTAGCCAAAGCAAGCACTGTTTTTAAACAAGGAATTGAGGAAGACCCGTGAGAGTGCTGGTGCTGGATTTACCTGTGCTGGACCAACCCACGGTCAGAGAGAGGTCTGCATGTTCCTCTCACTCGCACCAGCTTTGCACAAGTATAACTGCACTGAGTTCCACAAAGTTACTCCTGAGTTACAGCATGGAGAGCAGAATCAGGCCTTTAAGGCTACGTTTCTGCTACTTGTCTATATTGTAAAGGATCGCCATTTAGTACATATCTAGAAACCAAATTCTTAGATTCCAAAGGAACTTGAGGTTGTGCCTCAACTGAGCATTCAAGAGCTACAGCTGCCAGGGTGCGAAGACCTATGTTGTTAGAAGGAGTGTGTCTGGGCCTGGATAAAGAACCTGCTGCTTCTAAGACCTGCTTCTAAGGGGGTCAGAGGATATTGAAAAGAAGCACAGTGGTTCTGGTGACATCAGGGAGCAGAGGGATTGGCGAGACAACACGAGGGTCCTGACTCCAGTTCACAAAGAGCGAGTCTGGATCCCTGCCTGCTTTTGAGTACTGGAGAGAGAATTTGGTGCTGTCTTCCAAGGCACACAGCTCCACTGCCCATAGACCGACAACGGTCTTTTCTAATGAAGTGACGAGGGGCCACTCTTGTTGGCTGTGTTCAGACCATCTAGGAGAGATCTGCTTTTCCCAGACAGAGAACCAAGGTGAGGCCTGGCGAAGTGGACATGAGTCCCAGAGGCCTCACGACATGGAGGGGTGGGGGAAATCAAACACTCCCTTCGGGGCTGAGATAATCAACGGCTATGGTTTGTTTGCCAAGATCTGTACTGACAAGCCTTTGGACAGGAGGAAGGAAAGTTTTTAACGCTAGCCATAGCACTAGAAGCTCTGTTCTGGATTCCTTAGACTGCTCTCGGTTACTGAGATGGGCTTCCCAATCCTTGTTTGAGACATCCATACCCGGTCCCTGCAAATGGAAGTGGAACGCCCCAAAGGACACTTCCTGAGCAATCATGCCTCCAGACTGTCCACTCCTCATCTGTAAATAACAGGCTGAACTGAAGAGGCCTTATCACTGGTTCATGGACACTCATAGACTAGAAGCCATGAGACTCAGAAAGGTGTGATTGTGCCAGGAGGTTGCATCCTTAGGGAAGGGGTGGTCTTTCAAGTGCCCGCAAGCAGCTCTTGTGGGCAATGGCAGTCCGCACTATGGAACAAAGAGCTGCTCCCATGAAAGTTAGCCTCTGCCCTCAGTTCAGGCTGGGGCCCATCTCCAGAGGAAAGAAGAAGATATGTGCAGGCAGGAAGAAATTCCTTGAATATCATCCAGGTAGGGGTAGAACTGAACCCCTTAGGAGAGGCAGGAAAGAGGCAGTGTGACCAGGAGACCTGGATTCTATTCCTGGTTCTGTGTCTGACCGGCAGGGTAACCTTGTTAGTCACTTCCACTCTCTGTGCCCATTTCCCCTCTCACCGCCTTTTGTCTGTCCTTTCTATTTAGATTGTAAGCTCTTTCGGTCAGGGACTCTCTTTTTGCCATGTGTTTGTACTGCACTGACTGCAACGGTGCCCCAAACTCAGTGGTTCTCTACCATATTATGGCTCTACCATAATACAAATAACCTCTTGGATGGGCGGCCAGGCATTTAGGTAAGCACTCAGGGGGCCTTGGCAACCCAATGGGGGAATGTATGAGGTGCCTCCTGGGAGCAGCTCTCATTGGGATACTGAAGTAAGTAAACATCTCTCAGAGCCGTGGCACAGAGGAGAGGGTGATGGTTAACAGCATCACCATATGAAGCAGAAACCACTGACTGAATTTGTTCAGCTTTCTGAAGCCCACAATGAAGCAAAGTCCTCCTGTTCTCTCGGGGATTAGAAAGAACAGAGAATAGGAGGTCCTGTCCCCAAGGTGTGCTGTAAGGATGTTTATCCTTCTGAGAAACATCTTTGTCTCTGGACCATCCATTTCTTGTTGGGGGAATCCCCCAAAAGAGATGGGGTGGGGGGAGACAGGTGGTGGGGAGGCAACATAGCATGGTGCTGGACTGGTTATTAATTATTTGTATTGCAGAAATACCTAGAAACCCCGGTCATGAACCACAATCTCACTACAGCAGGTACTGTACAAAACCACAGCAGAAATACCGCCCCTTCCCCAAAAAGCTTACCCTCTAAGCATCGCGTGATTACCCTTACTTTACTCTTGCAGCTGGTCTGAGGTAGTTCCCCTCCATGGCATAATGGAAAACAGAAGTCACTCTCCAAAAGCCCCTTCCCCTTCTCACAGGTTGCAGCAAACTTTCAGCACCCAGTGGCTGCATCAGGTTTGGAAATGTAGGGAAAGGCCAGCTGAATGATGGAAACTGGAAACCCTGGTTCCCAGTAAGCTTTTGTTTGCTCCCAAGCCTCCTCAGAGAAATACCCCTCTGCTTCTCCAAGTCTTCCCTGCCCTTTAACACAAGGCTATTAGAAAGGTTAGGGTGGAGATAAGGAGGAGACAGGAGAAAGGAGAGAGACTGTAGATCCTGTCATTCACTCACAAACTGCCATCCATCAATCCATCACACTCCTTTTGAGAATGGCACTGAGGGGTTCGGGGACAAGGCCCTGTCCTGTTCAGATGGCAACACTCAGGCCATAAGAACAGCCAGCGAGACTCAGTGCTCAGGTACACCAGGCCCCAGACAGTACCACAGCAGGCTCAGCATGGAGGAGGCCCTAGCTGCATGTGCTCTTTCAGTTCCAAGCAGACTCACCTGAACCATAGAGAGCATGAACGCTGTGGTGAAGTGAGGTCAGAGACAAGTCTGTTCAGAAACAGAAGTGACTTGCGATTTTAAGGGAGCATATTCTAAAACATTGCTATTTTTTACTTGCTTTAGTGCTGATGAGAAGTGCCTATGTTCCAGCCTTTGAGATCAAAGTCTTCTCAAATCACAGGGCAGGTCCATCGCACGTAATAACATAAGCTTCCCCAGTGGCCTCCCCCACAGCTTGCTTCTGTCCTGGGTTGCTGACACCACCTCTAAAGGTGAAAGAGGAGCTCATCTCCATGGCCCATTTGATCCTCAGGATTTCTTGAGATTGCCAGCAAACAGGGCCAGTGGAGATGCTGGCTTCGGGATGTGGACTGAGATCCACCAGCTTGTCCCATGGGGGCTACTAAACAGTTGCCAGGTACTAACAGCCACTCCCAGATTCGGCTTAGCGACAGCACGGAAAAGTTCCATTTCCCTTAACCCATCTCCAGACACTTTC